CCCCAGCCAGCATGGCTGGCTGGGGAATTCTGGGAGTTGAAGTCCACACGTCTTCAAGTTGTCAAGGTTGAGAAACACTGCTCCAGCCTAAAAATCTGGGGAGGGGACGCCCCCCCAAATTAGGGGAATGTGTATCTTGTCTTTTGAAGAAAAGTTGAAATTTATTGCTTAGCTCCTGCAGATCTTCCCCTGCGCTCTTCCAAAAATACTTCTGAATGGCCTCGATTAGAACTTGCGAATTTCCATGGACAAAATGCCACAGTGTTGGTGGCAAAAATGAAAAAGATACATGAGGGAAGAAGGCAATTATTTCTGTGCTGTTGGAGAAGGCAGCCTCTTCAGACAGCAGCTAAATCTGCCTGCCTTCCTGTTTGCCCAACATATTTAACCAGGTCTGTTCTGAGCCAAGCGACCTGCCTTCACCTGACCGATAAAGCTTGCTTGCCTTGCTTGAGACCTGCTTTGATTGTGTGAATCCAGCCTGAGCTTGTTTCAGGTTCCAGGTTATTTTGCCCAGCCAAAACATGGGTTCATTCAGGAACCAGATTCAGGAGAGGTGTTCCAACCACGAGACACCGGGGTGGATGGTGAGGAATCAGTGAATGATTGGCCAAATAGTCCAGACAACTCCATACCAAAACTGCTTGTAAACAGCATCCTTCGGAGAAGTGGAATATGAGAATTGAAGGTGATGCTGGACCACGAGGGTAAAAGTATGCCGAGATCTTCTCCCATTAAGTGGGAAATAAGGATTTACAGAAGCAGCCCCCAGACTCTGTTTGCAGCCACCCAACAATGCCTATATAAACAGGGAATATAAATGAGACCTCCACAAGCACTACGATATAAAATCTCCCCCTTCAGCACTTTTGGGACATGTTTCACAGAAGGAACTGATTTAAAAAAATGTTTCCTAGCCAGTTTGTAGGAACCACGATTTTACTTCTACAACACTGACAGGTTCAAACTGGCACCTCCCCACCATGTCGTCACTGGAACCCAGGACCTGTCTTATACTGACGTCTTGATGTAGGTCCAAAGTGGGAAATTTGTATCTGGTGACCCCCAAGTCTGCATCTGCAGATGTGACCCCCAGGTCTGTTTTATGGCCCCTGGGTCCTCCTCTGCTCCCAGGATTGAAACACAGTAACACAGTTTGCACACCCCACTATTTCAGGAAAGCTGTTTTTCTACACTTCTGCATTCACTAAAAAATTGTTCCTCAAGATCTAACCTGCAGGCAGGGAGGGGCCTTTGCATCACCAGCTTCCTGATCCCCATTGGAAAGGACAGGCCAGATCAGAGAGGGAGGGAGGGAGACTGATGCTTTTCCTCCAAGTTACGATCGTTCTCTTAGAGCACCGGTTTCTGCTCACTCTTCTAGATCCCAAATATATATGTGTG